CCAGACAGAAATTCCTTTTAAATGATAAATAAAGTTCCCCTCTTGAGGCACTTTCAGCAGTATTGTGCCATTTTTGTACAAACTGGTCTTGTAATATTTGTTTAAGGTTCATGTGGACCCTTCGTCTAAAATGGCTGCATTTTCACCTCAAAATTTACTCTGAGTACAGACAAACCTGTGCATCTGGAAAAGTTTTAAGGCATAGCATGCCCTAGATAAATAAAATTCAAATATATTTTATGTTTTAGAAAATTAAAAACTTAACCGGATTTTGCAGTGCACTTTTTTTCATTCCTCCAGAAGGTGCCAAAATAAACTAAGTTGGGAAAGTGGTTTGAGAACTTCCCCACAGGTAATAATTGAAGTGAACTGTTTTGATTGACATGGACAATAGATGGACAATAGATACCTGACAATAATTGGTGATTTAAACTGTGTACCTGAGTGGACCATATCAAGTGAAACTCAACTGTTTGTTAATTTTATCATCTTCTGCAGGAACGAAAAAAAGTGCACTGCTAAATCCAGTTAAGTTTTAAATTTTCTAAAACATACAATGCATTAGAAGTTTATTTATCTAGGGCATGCTATGCCTTAAAACTTTTCCAGATGCGCAGGTTTCTCTGTACTCGGAGTAAATTTTGAGGTGAAAATGCAGCCATTTTAGCCAAAGGGTCCATATGAACCTTAACAACGTACATATTTTTAATTATTTTTACTAACAATTACTTGGCTATCCCATACATACGATAAGCCAACATCATTCAGTACAGATTTCACATGTAATAACCATTTTGATTACATATTTCCTGAACATTTCATTTCATACAGTAACTTATACATAATACTAGACAGTTTAGAATCATTCGAAAGTAGTTTTACCCAAAAATTAAGTATACGTAGTTAAACATGTACATGCATGTATGTCTAGTGGATATCTACCCGTTTCGCCGTAAACCATGAAATTGGGCGTTGTTCTTCGAACATAGAACACCTTCTTTAAAAATTGCAAATGCACCGTTTCCAATATGTCTAATTTTTCATAGCCCAAAATTTCGCTCCCATATAAAAGTATAGGATCAATTAAAGAATCAAATAACTTAAGCTGTAGATCTACTTTAGAACTTTATTAAACAAACTAAGACGCAGTAACTGCGCTACAGGAGCATCAATTATACATAATACATTGTAATTACAGATAACAGAATGAGTAGAAATTATCTAATATATAGAACTATACAGCTTCAAGTATTAAAACATATATAGATAAAGTAACTATAATAAATAATCGTAATGCTGTGAATAGATATATTCCTTATCGTTCTATACTGAGCATAAAGAGCTTTCTGTCCTTGTTCTGCTAACTTCTTTTTTGTAATTCAAATTTCCCATTTTGGTTTAAAAGCAAACCAAGATAGGGGAAGGACTCTAGTCTTTCAATAATTGAACCATATACAACATGTAGTTTTAAATAATCCATCATAGCGTACTTTCTTTTAGTGAATACCACCACCTTAGTTTTTTTAACATTTACTGAAAGTTTCCAAATATTACAATATTGTTCAAATACATCTAGACACCTTTCTGCTGCTGATTCAGCTAATATTATTGTATCATCAGCATACAATAGAATAAATAACAACAATAACATATTCAGGTGTTCTAAAGTTTTTTGTTATACAGTTTGGAGTCCTGATATACAATTTTCGCGGAAAAAAGTCTCCATGTCCGAAATAAATACAAAAAATAAGAAAGGAGATAAATTTTCCCCTTGACGAACTCCGACTTCACATGGAAAAAAACCTGAGAACTCCCTCCCCCTTTTGACACAAGACTTGATATTGACATACATATTATAAATAACCTTAAATATCTTTCCCGTGATATTACAATTTATAAGTTTTTTCCAAAGTCCCACCCTCCAAACAGTATCAAACGCTTTCCTGAAATCTACAAAGGTACAGAATAGTTTCTTATTGTTATAAAAGTATAATTCTATCAAAACATGTAGTATAAATATATTGTCATTTGTACTATATCTTTTTCTAAATCCGGCTTGTGCCTTTGGTATAGTTTCTATCAGTTCAGCATACTTTGTCAACCTACTATTAAGTACTGCTGTAAAAGGTTTACCAAGTGAGAACACTAGTGTAATACTTATACGAATATGGGTTGTTAGGATCACCCTTGTTTTTATATATGGCAATAATTATCCGAACCGTCCACATTTGAGGAACTACGCCAGTATTCAAAATCATATTAAAAATCACTCTATACATAGGCAAAGCAGCATGAATGCATGGTTGATTTAATATATTCATTAATGACCTTATCAAACCCAGGTGACTTGCTGTTTTTAAAATTTTTCACAGCATTCAAAATTTCTTCGTTTGATACTTCAACATTGAGTATAATTATAGATTTCTATTCAACCCTTTTGGAACATCAATTTTCTACCAAAAATAATATACTGTAATGCGACACAAGGTCTGGGTAAAAAAAAATCGAAATAGACATCAAGCCGTTAGTTTTCTCGTTTGAATTGTTAACATTTTTCATTTCGGGGCCTTTAAGCTGACTATGCGGTATGGGTTTTACTCATTTTTGAAGGTCGTACGGTGACCTATAGTTGTTAATTTCTGTGTCATTTGGTCTCTTGTGGAGAGTTGACTCATTGCAATCATACCACATCTTCTTATTTTTATATCAGGAATGAAAATAATCTTAGTCACTATGATCAGATCTCACTTGACAGATTTATCATTATAACTTGAAGGAATTGGAAAAAAAGCATTAAACGTCTCCAATTAAATAGTACACCAATAATATATTGGTTCAAAGGTGAAGTAAAGCACTAACTCCTATTGTTCGCTTCGGTGTATTGTGGCGTGGCAATTTGGAAGATTTTAATAACTATTCAAATTCATGATCGGTTATTAAATCCAGTTTGCAAAACAACCAAAAAATACATAATCAAGAGAATAGGTTAAGACGGCGAAAGCCATTATAAGGTGGCGAGTATAAACGAAATTTTAGGGGGGTATTTGCTGATATACAATATTATATCAGTGATGGGTCCAGGATTTTCAAAGGGAGGAAACACCGAAAAATAAAGGTGTGGGGTGGAACGGCAGTAAAAAAATTGTCAAATGTTAAATACAGTGGGACATTGTAAAATATATATGGAGGACTCTGAACCTTGATGGTACTCCGAACCGCGATGGTCACGCTGAGGTGCGATGGTTTGACGCTGAAGTGCGTTTTTCATCACATTGAAGTGCGATGGTGGCACTGTGACGCTATCTTGTTGATAGCTACGCCGAAGAGCGATGGTCTACATAAACTACATTTTCATTTCTTTTCATGTCGATGTAGAAGTCAATGTGTATGTTAAAAGCAGTTTTCCAGGATTTTAAGTTGACAAGGGGCGTATAAACTTTAAATACTACGAGAAATGGGGAGGGTTGGTTGATAGGGGAAAGTTATCCCTCTGTAGCGATTTTTTTCGTTCATTTTTACGTACGATGGAGCGTGACATTCTCTAAATACATACGGGTCCGCAGACAGACAGACTGTTATAATGTTACGGTAAACGAGGAATGTAGAAAATCAAAGAGGACGATCTCTCATTTAGCATGCAACTGTAATTAAGGACAGACATAGACAATAATGAATGTAAATTTATTTACTAAATATTAAGAAAATCTACTTCTCATAATAATTGCACGTCTGTAGATTTTAAACTAGTCATCATGCGTCAAATAGACCGGCATCGCACATCAGCGAACGGACCATCGCACATCAGCGTAGACCATAGCACTTCAGCGTGACTTTCGCACTTTAGCGTCCCCATGGCACCTCCGAGTCCTACATATGTATCGAAATTACTGTTATGCCCTTCGACTAATCCCGTTGAACTTCAAAAATAACGTGTTTTTCTAAAGTAATCCTTTGTTTCACGGTCACATCAGTCAGAATTTTACGGTTGTGTTAAGTTTAGAAAGTTGGTGAAGTTACAATCGTATAACTTTGTTTGGATTTACATTTTAGAGTTTTTGTTAACTTCTTATAAATATTGGTATCAAATCACTATAACCTATATTTCACGCTTAATTAATTGTGATCAATCTTCTGACTGAGTTTGATGTCAATCAGTAACTAATTACTACAACCACGTAACTTTGCCTACAGAGCATGTCCCCATGTCACTCATCCACAAAAAGTAGGTCACAGTTACTTACATACTTAGAGAGACGGACATTCAAACTCATAAGTCGAAAAATAAACTGACAAAGCCATGGCAAAACAAGAAAAAGACCAACAGATAAACTATACGAAAAACACAACATAGAAAACCAAAGACTGAGCAACACGAAGGTGTTCTTAAAGTCAAATTAACGCGTGTGGATATGGTTCTTATTTCTAATATTTACTCACAAATAAAGGGGAACGCAACAAACTTGGTAATCGTATATAACCTTTCTATTTACTGGAAACCATTCTAAAAAAAAACAACTGGAAAGACTAATCGGAAGATAACAAGAATCAGATAGCTTTAAAAATACATTGAATTGAAAAGTTCCATAAAAAAACTTGCATGTTCTCTAGTTGTCTGCTCCATTCTAATAATAACTGACATTTCATAGAATTGGTTCATTATGCATGTCTTCGATTATTCTTCTATTATCTGATCACAATCTTTGTAGTTTTTTGTATATATGATACCTTGACAATACGAAAACTTCAATCAAGTGTTCCAGCTGAGTGCAGTGCATTAATTTTGTACAAAATACATTTAATTCTGATTTTGTTTACATTGATTTAGTATTATTTACCTAATTTGTATTTCACAATACTTTTGTCTATTGAAGTACACTTATAGATCTGTCGTTGACAAAACAGACGACTTCTTAATATCTGATGATATTCATGGGAAGTTTAATCATGTGAGATTGGTAGACCGTTAATATCTGTTGTACGAACGTTATTGCATCTTTTAGATTTGACATGGAACATAGCAAGAAAATACTAGAGCTGAAGAAAAGACTGGTTGGAATTAAACCACTAGAAGACGAGCCTGAATTTTTCAACTCAGAAGAAACGTAAGTACTGTCAAAATTCACCCGTTATATTAAACCTTAATTTTTCGTTGAACCTATCTCTAATTAACATATAGATCTGTGATTTCGTTATGCTCAGTACGCGAGTTCGATAATCTGAATTTTAATCAGATTGTCATGTGACAGCACCACGCGCGTATAACAAACTCGCGCTGGTTCACCTCACCTTTCCTGGGTTGGATCAACACATAGCTACTAGTAGCAGTCTCCAAAGGTATAACCCGCCTATAGTCCATTTGTAAAGGCAGACCATTATTTATGATTGATTCTCAGTGTTTGACGCCATTTTCAACACTCTCGACTAGATAGTGACCACCAGTTTTTATTGGTAGAGGAAGCCGCAGTATCTGGAGAGAACTAACGACCTACGACAGGAACCTGAATTGGCAATCGTTTTCAATAAAGATAGGAATCGGACGCACTTATCACGAGCGGGGTTCGAATTCACAACCTCACTGTTGACAGGCTAGTGGCCACTATAGACGAACTATTTAGACCACTAGGCTACCGATTTATAATGCACATCTTGATAAATTCTAAGCAGGTGACTTTATAAATTTTTATAAACTATGAGTGCATTTATCAATCAGGCAAATGAGAGTTTAGGCGAGTTTATATATCCGTTAGTGTATCCGTAACGCGTTTCCGGATTTAATTTGATCAGGAACACTAAAACCAGAGACGTATATATGTCTCTGCTAAAACCTGAGACTAGTAGTCTCAGCTTAAACCAAGCAAATTAAAAATCGGGAAAGTATATATACTGGAGAAGCTTAAACGGAACCTGATATTAACCAAGAGTCCTTCTAAGGAGTCAAGTTTAGCCGAGTGTAGTTGCAACCTTAGTTTCTTAATAATTTATAAATTTATCAACGGAGAATTTAAGAAATGTGTGATATTAATCTAAATTGATGGAAAGCAATTGTTTGGTCCATGTCGGTTTCTTGGCCGTACGAAATTAGTTGGCTATCGAAAGGATGAAATTATGCATGTTTTACTTTATAATTTGTCAAAAACATGATTGCCCTTTTTTGATAATAGATACTAACTTTTTCTGGGATGTTTGCTATAAGACACGTCCGCCGTCTATTGCGGTGTTGAAAACGCGAAAACCGAACTGGCCGCACTTCGCCACTATAGTCGTAGATTAAGTCTGGTAAAAGCTTTGATGGTATGATACAAGGCTAAACTATAATTACTTATCAATTACTGACTTCTCAAATTTGGAAAGGACAGAATTAACAAAAGTTACAGGTCATTTCTAGGTCAAGCAGTAAGGTCATTCCTAGATCAAGCAGTTGTGAAGCAATGGTGACAAGCATGACACAAATAAGTAACTCTTAATATTGTTCCTTCAGTAGGAGTGAAATTAGTAACTCACAAGTCCCGTATGCTTTTATTTTTCACCAAAGGCTATTTTGTTTGTCACACTTCAGATCTCGGCTATGTAAAAAGGATATCGATGTTCCCAGTAATTGCTTAAAGCAGAGGCATATAATACAATTATGTCTCTATAATACAATACTATGTCTCTAATTAAAGATAAGCGATCGTCAATCACAACCTTATCATTATTTTAGTGGATAATGAAAGTTCATCAGTGGTCTCGTTTGAATTCACTACGAATAATCTCAAATTAAAAGAAATAGAACAATCGTTCAGCAGGTTCACGATCATTTCAAGGTCAAATGTTTGTATTTGTTGGTTTGTATCAAGGAGGTTGTATGAGAAGGAGGGTAAACACTCTGCTTGATATAAAATTAGCATCCCCAGGATAGCAATCTCCTTGGTTTGTATATTCAAAATTGTTTTACAGTTCATTGATTGAACCAGAGACATGTGTATTATAATGTCTCTGATTGAACATAGGTAGTCAAGGTCGTTAAACATCCTTCTAGTAGTAGACACTGACGTTACTTCCACAACAAAGAAGAATCAGATATATTCTGTTCTCTATTAAAAAGGGGTGGGGTCCTAGGATGTATGTGAATGGGGTGTAGACTAAACAATGACTCTTTCGTGTATAATTTGAAGTATTGGTAAAATAAATATAGTAAATAAATACAGATAATCACATGTTCTGCATGTAAATTTGACGTTCTGAAATGCAAATTAATGAGGGTGGTAAAGGGTTATTTTCGTGCAACATGTTTGCCATTTTTATTTCACGTGCAGCCGTGAAAAAGGTTCCTTATTCACCGTGTTTCGTGAAATCGGTAAAAAGGATAAAAAAAATCAACGTGCAAGAAATTTTTAATTGTTCGTTCATCGTGAAATGGCAATTTTATTTCGCGTTCTTCCGTGCAGATACCCCCCCCCCCCTTACGCCCCTCATTGATGGGGAATACTGATTAAGAATCTCTCAAGTTTTACGCGTGATTTCGTCGTATATCTCAAACATGATAATTTGTGATTTCAGGCTAGTCAGATTCTTGAAATCAAGAGAATGGAATATAAACGATGCTGAGAAAATGATGAAAGAATCAATAGAATATAGAAGAAGAATTCGTCCTTCACATTTAGACTGTAAATGGTGCCACGAACGCCCAGGTTGTCATTCAATGGTATTGTTAATTTTAAATGCCTAATTAACATTTATTCTAAAATAGATGAGACTGCGAAGAATAGTAAGCATCAGGACTTATCTCCAGGTCAGATATATAGCCCGTTAGACCAGTTCCCGTCATGACGTATCAACCTTGTTCTTCAAGTTGTTTCACTGACATTTATAGCACCGTGACCTTTGCTACTCTGTCGTCAAGAAAGTCAACCCACTACATTCAAATACATTTTGCTTACTATCAATCAATCAGTCAATAACTGTGATCAATCGATCAGTCAATAACTATGATCAATCGATCAATCAATCAAACAATCGTTTAAAAAAAGACAAAACTGAACAGTTAACAGGCAGTCATAATTGAACAAGGATACATATAGTTGCTTGCATCCACGTCATTTGGACTCGGGTGGATAGGTGGATAATTGTTTTAGTGGCAATCATACCACATCTTATTTTATATAATGACAACCACAAATACTCCATTAAAAAATATATAAGGTATAAGTATAAGTTGTGTCACCAACAGTGAACAAATAACAAACAACCATTTACATTGCACCATTATAACTACATTGACAATGACATTGTATAAGAAATGAGTTGAATCATAAATTTCATAACCACAATAATTTTGCTACTCTTAAAAAAATTATCTTTGGGAGGTTGAGCAACCAACAATCATCAATCACTGAATGACAACATGAAAACTGATATAATGTTTTATTTCATATATACTCAGTTGTTAACCCTTTTTGCAGATTGTGTCTGTTTTTCATATGGTTTAAACACTAAACTTCATGTTTTATTAAAGCCATTACATTTCATTTAATTCACTTTAGAGACAAGTCGGTTTTGTTACAGCCATTACATTTAATTCACTTTAGAGACAAGTCGGTTTTGTTACAGCCATTACATTTAATTCACTTTAGAGACAAGTCGGTTTTATTAAAGCCATTACATTTAATTCACTTTAGAGACAAGTCGGTTTTATTAAAGCCATTACATTTAATTCACTTTAGAGACAAGTCGGTTTTATTAAAGCCATTACATTTAATTCACTTTAGAGACAGGTCGGTTTTATTAAAGCCATTACATTTAATTCACTTTAGAGACAAGTCGGTTTTGTTACAGCCATTACATTTAATTCACTTTAAAGACAAGTCGGTTTTGTTACAGCCATTACATTTAATTCACTTTAGAGACAAGTCGGTTTTATTAAAGCCATTACATTTAATTCACTTCAGAAACAAGTTGGTTTTGTTATAGCCATTACATTTAATTCACTTTAGAGACAAGTTGGTTTGGTTATAGCCTATACATTTCATTGACTCCAGAGACAAGTTGGTTTGGTTATAGCCTTTACATTTCATTGAATTCAGAGACAAGTTGGTTTGGTTATAGCCTATACATTTCATTGACTTCAGAGACAAGTTGGTTTGGTTATAGCCTTTACATTTCATTGACTCCAGAGACAAGTTGGTTTGGTTATAGCCTTTACATTTAATTGACTTCAGAGACAAGTTGGTTTGGTTATAGCCTATACATTTCATTGACTTCAGAGACAAGTTGGTTTGGTTATAGCCTATACATTTCATTGACTTCAGAGACAAGTTGGATTGGTTATAGCTATGGTTATAGCCTATACATTTCATTGACTTCAGAGACAAGTTGGTATGGTTATAGCCTATACATTTCATTGACTTCAGAGACAAGTTGGGTGTTATAGCCTTTACATAAATTGACTTCAGAGACAAGTTTGTTTCCTTATAGCCTTTACATTTAATTCACTTCAGAGACAAGTTGGTTTTGATGAAGCTGGAAGACCAGTGATTTACTCCAATTTTGCTCAAGCTAATCTACATCATAATACAACTGAAGACACTATCTGTCACTGTACCTATCTAATAGAAAATGCCAAAAGGACCATGTCACCTGAAGTATCCACATGGGTCTTTGTTATTGATTGTACAGGTAAGGACCATGCCAACTGGAGTATCCACATTGGTCTTTGTAATTGATTGTACAGGTAAAGGACATGAAATATAATGTATCATGCCTGTTTAGTCAAATAGGGACCACAAAACCTGAAGAGTCCAAAGGAAGGTTTAATAATTGAAGTAAGGGCCATACAACACAGATTATTTACATGGTCTTTGTAAGAGATAATACAAATAAGAACAAAGGATACAAACTTGATCAACTGATCAAGAAAAAAAGCAAGTCATTAGTATTAATTTGTGTAGAAGGAGTATAAAAACATTTTTTTATGGTTATCAGTTTTACACACAAGAAAAATCCCATTTTGCTATTGGTTTTATATGACAGGGAATGTCTGAAACCTGCAGTTGTAAAATTGATAATACAGGTATTTATGTTGGTAGGACTTTGTCTAGCCATAATGATTACCTCAATGTGTTAACAGTTCATACATGGATATTTTAGTGGTTACACCTGTATCATTTCTTTTGATTTATCGTGTATGTTTATCAACCAAATTCTTAGTAACATATTTTTTTTTCAATATTTTCTACCTGTTATGTGTTTATACATCTAGGAATTTCAGATCTTAGGAGCTCATCATCACTTTTTATGTTTTATTTGATTGATAAAAAAAGATACCTGCAAAGTCTAAATAAAAGACAAAGAAAATGTTCTGGTTGTTTGTGATTGTTTGGTTGCTATCTCTTTGACATTTACCCCACATATCTTAATTTTGTTTGAAAAATATAATATTGGATGGACATATATAATTGTTAAAAAATATATTGAAGAAGGCCATAAAAATCATTCATGTTTTATCACTTCCAACAGATATGCCTGAAATTCAAACAATGATAATGTTTCCTTATCTCTAAAAGACTCTTTTTCTTCTTTTCTAATTTGATGAAACCTATTATTCATTACCATTGTTATATTCAAGATTGTATGCATATGAAATTATGAATATATAGTTAATTGTTTATGTTGTATTTTTGCAGGTATGACTATACAAGCATGTAACCCAAAGCTTGGTTATGGTGTAACACAAGTAATGGCAAATCATTATCCAGAACGCCTCGGACTTGTTATCTGTGTTAACCATAACCCAGTCTTCCAAGGAATCTGGAAAGCCATGAAAGTATTTATACACCCAAACACTTCATCCAAAGTCAAACTTGTCAAATCAAAGTCTAAAGTCAAACAAACATTCCTGGAGGTATTCCCATCAGAATTGACAGACTGGATTCTTGAGGAAATGAGACAAAACAAGATCAAGCCGTTACCTTCTACACAGAGGGAGTTCTGGAATAAACCTTCCGACAGTGTACGTCATGATCCGAGAGGTTGTTCTTCATACATAGAAAAATACATTGACAGAAGTGAAATAGAAAATGATGCTAATGAGATTGAACACAAAGCACATCCTAATATAATGGATTCTATCAAGGGAAAAGTTGTATCAGTGAAAAAATCTTCTGAACTTGAAAAACAATCGTCACCATTCCATAATCTTGATTCTTGTAATTCTGACAGTGATGAAGAATTTGAACAAATTGAAATGCTAGATATTCCAGATGAGTTCAAAGTTCCTGATCATGCAGTAAAATTTACTTGAATAAAGTTTTGTTAATTGTTTGGTATCACAAAGATTTCATGAACAGTCATTCCGGATAAGAAGACTCAAAAACCAAAATGTGTTCATTGTACACCATGCCCCATTCTGGGTCAAAACCTTAATTTAGCATATATAATTTATAGAGTTCACAACCTTAATTTGGCATTTATTTTAATGTTCACATCACAAGGAACATGTGTTCTTAGTTTCATATTGATTTGACTGCAACTTTGTGGTAAAATACCTTAAATCAAATCTTTAAAACTGATACTCAATGGATGAATGGCTGATTAGACAGACAGACACACACATGGAATAACTATTGTAGTAGGCATCTAAGAATTTACATTGAATTTACATTAACAGTCTCCTTTTTTAATGTCTTTTGACCTTTAAATCTGCAATATCGTCATATACTGAGGTTTCATTATAATTCATGTGTACTTATTGTCGAGCCTGCGACTTTTGTTGCAGAAAGATCGACATAGGGAAAGTGATCTGGCGGAGGCGTTAGCTAACTTCTTAAAAGCTTAATATTTCAGAAGGTAGAATACCAGGATCCTTCATACTTTGTATATAGATGCCTTATGTTATGAAGTTTCCGTCTGTCATATGTCCATCGACCTTGACCTCATTTTCATGGTTCAGTGACTACTTGAAAAAAAAGTTAACATTTTTAGTATTCTTAATTTCTCTCTTATTATGAGTAATAGGATAACTATATTTGGTATGTGAGTACCTTGCAAGGTCCTCATGCCCGTCAGACAGTTTTCATTTGACCTCGACCGCATTTCATGGATCAGTGAACAAGGTTAAGTTTTGGTGGTCAAGTCCATATCTCAGATACTATCAGCAATAGGTCTACTATATTTGGTATATGGAATGATTGTAAGGTGTACATGTCCAACTGGCACGTGTCATCTGACCTTGACCTCATTTTCATGGTTCAGTGGTTATAGTTAAGTTTTTGTGTTTTGGTCTGTTTTTCTTATACTGTATGCAATAGGTCTACTATATTTGGTGTATGGAATGATTGTAAGGTGTACATGTCTAGCTGGCAGGTTTCATCTGACCTTGACCTCATTTTCATGGTTCAATGGTCAAAGTTAAGTTTTTGTGTTTTGGTCTGTTTTTCTTATACTGTATAAAATAAATCAACTATATTTGGTGTATGAAAATATTTTACGATGTACATGTCAGTCTGGCATGTTTTATTTGACCTTGACCTCATTTTTACGGTTCATTGCTCAAAGTTTAGTTTTTGTTTTTGGTCTATTTTTCTGATACTTTCAGCAAAAGGTCAACTATATTTGGATTATGGAATGATTGTAAGGTGTACATGTCCAACTGGCAGGTGTCATCTGACCTTGACCTCATTTTCATGATTCTGTGGTCAAAGTTAAGTTTTTTAGTTTTGGTCCTTTTTTCTTATACTATATGCAATAGGTGAACTATATTTGATGTATGGAAATATTTTAGGATGAACATGTCTGTCTAGCAGGTTTTATCTGACCTTGACCTGATTTTCACGGTTCATTGCTCAGTGTTAAAATTTGGTGTTTTGGTCTATTTTTGTTCAACTATAAGCAATAGGTGAACTATATTTGGTGTATGGAATGTTTATAAGGTGTATCTGTCTGTCTGGCAGGGTTCATATGACCTTGACCTTATTTTCATGGTTCATAGGTCAATGTTAGTTTTTTTTATTCTTTACTGCCATCTTTTATCACAATAATCAATATCAATGGTATATCACTAAGTTATTTCACTCTTAACCACAGTTATCCAGCATATCTTCATATAGCAGATAATAACCTATACAATTAGTAGTATGAAGACACTATGATAGTTGTCTTCAGCAGGCCTGGCAGCAGCTTAAGCGTTCATACAGGCATCAGCAGCAGCGACATTATCACATTATTTACAGCTTTAAATTTATAATGTATGTCTGATAGCATTTAATTTCAACATAACTTCATTTAGAAATACACGACAGGCGAGACATTTCTGTGTGTCCACTCTTGTTTTTGAGAATTTCCTTGGTATAGATAAACCAGGAATTTTTAAATGTTCAACAAAAATACAAATTTCCTTTAGGTTTTTATGCAGAATTTGTTAAAACCATGAAATCAAATAAAATTCGACCTCAATCCAAAAATATTGGTACCCCTGAATGCAGTACATATATATGTACTTGTTGAAATTTAATATGAAACAGTATTACATAAAGTTTTAATAAAATGCTCCGCTGGGCGCAGCTTGATACGACCGCAGAGGTCGAACCCTGAACAGTTGGGGCAAGTATGGACACAACATTCAAGCTTGATACAGCTCTGAATGCGGATTGTGATTAAATATTTGATACAGCATAGGTTTCTGACACAGAATGAATGTGGTCTAAGAACTTAAACATTTTTAATTTACCTATTATGGTCCAATATCCAAAATCTAAATACATACACGGTTAGATTCAGCATATCAAAGAACCCCAAGAATTCAATTTTTGTTAAAATCAAACTAAGTTTAATTTTGGACCCTTTGGACCTTAATGTAGACGAATTTGAAAACTGGACCAAAAATTAAGAATCTAAATACACAGTTAAATTCAGCATATCAAAGAACCCCAATATTTCAATATTTGATGAAATCAAACCATATAATTATTATTTGCTTTTATATATAAATAAAAACAAACAAACTTAAAACGGAAAATTTTAAAGAAAAAAAAAGGAAAAAAAGAAAAAAAAAAGGACCCCCCCCCCCAATTTTTTTGAACCCCCTTATGATTCATCACCCCCAAACTCAATCCCAGCCTTCCCTTTGTGGCATGGTACCTTGAAGTACAATTTCAGAGAGATCCATACACTTGAATGCAAGTTATTGTCTGGAAACTGTAAAAATGCTTGTTTTTTTGCCCCTTTTAGGCCCCAAATTCCTAAACGTTTAGGGCAATTACCCCCAAACTCAAACCCAGCTTTCCCTTTGTGATATGGAACATTGTAGTACAATTTCATAAAGATCCATACACTTACACACAAGTTATTGTCTGGAAACTAGAAAAAAGCTTATTTTTAGCCCCTTTTTGGCCCCTTCTTCCTAAACGTTTTGGGCAATTACCCCCAAACTCAATTCCAGCTTTCCCTTTGTGATATGGAACCTTGTAGTACAATTTCAGAAAGATCCATACACTTACAAGTTATTGTCATGAAACTAGAAAAATGCTTGTTTTTTGCCCCTTTTTTGGCCCCTTATTCCTAAAATTTTGAGGCAATTACCCCCAAAATCAATCCCAGCATTCCCTTTGTGATATGGAACTTTGAGGTACAATGTCAGAGAGATCCATACACTAACACACAAGTTATTGTCTGGAAGTTACAAAAATGCTTATTTTTGGCCCCTTTTTGGCCCCTAATTCCTTAACTGTTGGTACCATAACCCCCAAAATCAATCCCAACCTTCCTTTTGTGGTATTGAACCTTATGGTAAAATTTTATAGAGATCCATTAACTTAAACTAAAGTTATTGTGCGAAAACTAATTTGTCTTCGGACGACAACGACGCCAACGTCATACCAATATACGAACGAAAATTTTTTAGCGGTTGTATAAATAGGTGACTACAATATTCTATAAGAGGAATGTATAATTGGAACACTTTTTAGTCCAATATAGGTACAGAAATGAAAAAGAAATACATTTGAATAAACTATACACAAGAACCTGCTTCAAGGTAAAACAGAAACTCACAAGAGGAAGGTTTAGCTAGCTATAAAACCAGATTTAACGGTTAATCTTTAACCCACAATTTTCTTTGGAAAATAACTGTACCAAGTCGGGAATATGACAGTTGTTTTCCATTTCCATTGGTTCCGTTAGTTGATAGTCTATTTTGTCAGTTTTATTGACTTCCTCTTTTTGAATTTACCTTGGAGTTCTGTATTGTTATACATTTTCACAACATAAAATGTTACCATACGAGGAAAAATGTTTCACAAACAAAATTATCAGTAATTTATTTATTGATAAGTATATTTGATTTTGATATTGTAACAGTACATGGTTATTGATCAATATAAATATGTATACACATGGTAACATATGTTTATTTATTTGTATATTATTTTTCATTCACAGAATGAATCATAATAAACCGCTGCACTGAAAAACCTTTTTACACAAGACTAGTCTTAAGCTCAAATAATAACATTTGTAAACAAATGAAGCTTCATTGCATACAATGATAGTCACAAATACTGGCAAGACAAATTATTTCCCTACTGAAAAAGCCTAAAACCAAAGTTCGTAGAAACAGGGATGGCAATATTTTATCTGTTATTTTTACCCCCTCCCCTTTTATATCCAAATCTTTTAAAAAAGCTGGTGACAAAACTAAAAGATACTATATTCTCGGGTCAAATTCCAATTCAAAATTAAAATCAAAAAATAGAATTGTGAAAATAATCCCCAGGTGTCTATTGGTTTGTCATAAAATGTTCAAAAACATTTTTTTCTTGGCTGTCAAAAGAATTTTTGAAGAAGACAAAATAATGTTTCCTCATTCTATAATGACCAAATTATACTCTGACATGCATTTAACTATATCATTATTTCAACCAAATACTCGAGATTTATAAGACATTGAAAGAAGGAGTTATCCCACAGATTATACAGATGCTTTATAGAAAGCATGTTGAATTATTTTTATACCTGCTTAATATATAGTTTTAAATAGTAATTCAAGGAATAAAAAATAAGAATTCCAAATCCTTAAAAATCTCATTAAAGCTAATGAATTATTGAATTCCAAATTACAAGCTTATTTGGGGATCTTCTTTCAAAACCATCTAATATGTTAATCATGACACACTTAGCATAGAAACAATCTTATAAACTTCATTTCTTGTTACAATCAAGCAGCAAAGTTATATCAGACATAAGTCATAATAAAGAGAGACTGACCATGGAGTTGACCTTTATGTTGTCATTATTGTCCAGCATATATTAATCTTAATTCTATAAACTGCACCTAAGTCTTTTCTTTGTCATGATTTTGTTTTATGATTGGCTCCAACTGCCTCTGTAATGCTTCTATAACCGTCCTTTCTGTAAAGATAAAAAAATAATTATTATGATTATGCTGATGAGAGGACACTTGTTCAAATGGTCAGATGTAATTACCAATTATATCATGTATAGTTATCATGTACAAACAGACAAAATTACTTTTAATTATGTGTAATTTTGACAGTGCATATTTAACAATAAACATAAATCGCATTACATTTAATGTAAAGTTCAAAGTAATACATGTTTTTAATGTGCCTGTCACTCAGGAAACTCAATATTGGTTGTTTTTTATTACATTTCATTGGTCGTCTTTGATTACATTTCATTTGTTGTCTTTGATTACATTTCAGTGTTTTGTACACAATTTTTATTTTTGTAAATGGTTTATCTTTAGAAGTTTCTGTTAAATTGATTTTCAAACTATTCTATAGCAAATGAATGTACTCTTTGGTAAGATAAAATAAAACAGATTCTTACCATTTTTAAAAATTTCAAAACATGGCTGTTTGGATTATCTCAAAGTCCTCATTGTAAGTTGTACAGGGAATGTTAAGTGACTTACATTTAAAGCTGACGCTATCCGTTGGTAGAGAATTTTATAATTCAAGAACTTAGAATGAAGATGAAAGTAATATTTCTAAATATCATTGTAGTTTACTTAGACTGTTTTCACTAGCTAAAATATAAGCATTCACCAGCAGAATGGTCACATCTCTTATTCAAACTAAGTCTCTCCTGCTGAAATACTTTTAAGAAATTCAACAATACTTACATTAATAATTCTGATAATTCCCTATTAATTTTCCCTATAACAGGTGGACCCTGGTAAATTAAAGCTGTATATAATTGAACTAATGAAGCACCTTCTTTGATTTTATCATAAGCATCTTCACCTGAACTAATCCCACCTACTCCTATAATGGGTACTTTTCCTGAAATATAAAGTATGAAATAATTATATAAATTATATATCCTTCAAATAGATAACGTGTAATTCTGTTTGAATTTGATACTGTTTGATTGCACTGTCAATCAGGGCCCCGAGTTTCTGTCCTTCGCCTCATCCGACGTTGACCCCTTTATAGTCATAAAGTTGATTTGTTTTATCTGAACAACCAATACTTACTTCAAAACACATGACTAATTTAGAATTTTTCTATGACTAAGGTTCCAACTCCCTCAGCTAAGGTTGACATTAGTTAGTTTTCATTCTTTTCTTTAGATCACTTTGGGTTTTGGTCTTAAAACTCCTCAAGTATATATACATCCCTGACTTTCAAATTTTTTATATTGTGCATTTGGAATATTTACGTAAATCTATAAAAGCACTTTGGACCCATCAAACTAAGGAAGCTAAGAAGCTTTGTTTTTATTCTATACATACTATTATTTGGAACAAGTATATGTAACTGTTTGAAATAGCAGAGTAACTCACCTTCAGTTAACTTGTACATATCAGATATGGTTTTAGTAGAAAGATCTTTTAATGGTCCTCCACTAAGGCCTCCAACTTCATCTTTATGAGGACTTTTTAATGAGTCTGGTCTACTCACTGTAGTGTTACTAATAATTAGTCCACCAAGAGATTCCTGTAAGTATCACAAGAGTGTATTACAATGGAATGTTTAAACTTAAAACTTTCATAGCAGTTTGTAAGTAGACCAATATTGGATGAAATGATCCACAACCAGGATAGTCTATTACACATTTATGATAAGTTTCTGAACTAGCCACATTATTAAAATTTCATCATGTTAGAAATTTAAAATAAAAAAACAGTAGAAGAGATGGGGTAAAATTATTAAGCTGTCCCCAAAATAGGTAAAGTTCTAAGCAGCACTGGCAAGCAAAAACAGTTATCTAAAAGATACATACTGATAGAGTAGAAATTATAACTTCATACAAAATATGTACCCGGTACATGTTATGTCTGCTAAGTCAATTCACCTTACTATGCTTTAAAACACAACCTTTTTGTAATAAGGAAGATAACCACAACATTTCTCACCACTCAATATAATGATAAAGGATAAACTATAAGATAGAAACACACTGAGGTGAGTATTAAAAAGTATGACAATTCCATAGTAATGTATGATGGTACACAAAGTACACAATGGAATTTATTTGTTAAAGCAATGAAAGATTATTTACATTAATGTCATAAAAAATATAACTTGACTTTATTGTTCAATCCCTCCCTTCAAAAAAGAAAAAGAACAAAACAATATAACATTTATGGTAAAAAAAAACACCAAAAACAACAGTACTTTGGTTTCAAAATTTCTAGAGGCTTTCATTCATAGCTGTCCTGATAAATTTGATGACAGTTTTACTGATGGCCATTATGTGAAAGAAAATAGGAGTATTTAACAGACAGGAACTTGTCAAGCTATGGATGTGAAAACATATCACACAGTATATGAAGCTTGAATCCAAATTTCAAGAGGCTATAATTCTTAGCTGTAGAAAATGATGTAGAGACTATCACAGAGTGAAACAGGCTCACATTAAGATAAATACTGAATTGAAAAAAACCTTTGATATTGAGTTACTGAGAACATTGCAACAACCATTCATTGGAAGGACTGACAGACCATTTTAATTCAAATGTTTGAATTATTGAGGTAATACTGTTTAAGGTGATTTATTGGTACCGGTATATATTTCCTCAGATAGAATTTTTCTTATACTCTGCCAGAATGTAGATTTTTCCATGCTTTTTTCAAAAATATAATAAATAGTATGTAGGGGTCACTGTGCTATTTTTCAAGCTACAAGTCTTGCAAAATTGCCCAAATTTGCATAGATTGTTCATGAAAAAAACTTTTTTGTGAATAAAAAGAAATCTATGAGATAAAATTTTGAAACAAAATATGAGAAGATAGGTTTTAAAATATGCTTTAAGAAAATAGAAAGAAAAAATGGTGTCACCGACCTTGTTTTCTTGCTACATGCAAGGTAGTACTCCACAGTTAGGTGTATAGTTTCACATTTTGACCCCTGTGGATTTTTCAAAAATGAAAGCTAGTGCACAATAAAATTCATTTTTGGATAGCTGAAGATTAATTTAGCCTTCATAGTGGGTTAATAGGAACATCAAGATTGTGTAATGTATGTACTATGGGCTGTTTTCTGTATGACAGTCTGTATTTTCATATCCATACCAGACATTGGTCCAAAAATTATTGTAATGTTTTTTCCAACTTTGTCCCACGAACTTTGTGATTATATTTTACGAAAAAATGAGGCAAAAGACACCTAATATTTATTTGGTAGATTATGCAATAGTTTCAGAAAATGTATCACTCAAAGGGATTGAAATTCTAGTTTGAACCAAATTTTTGTGACATTTTCATCCCCCTTTTTACAATATTTTATGGTAAATAAATGCAGATTTTGCAATGTATGCACAAAAAAAAAAATTATTTCACCATTTTAACTTTTGAAAATCAAATCTCTGGAAGATGCTGATTACATGCATATGCACATGTATGACACAAACAGTTGGCTTAATGTATTAGAAAGCCATAAAAAGAAGATAATTTAACATTTTGTGGTTCTATTTTAATTTTATTTTCTAACTCTGGAGTGCTACCTAAAATTTGAGAATTTCTCTATCATTCCTTCACAAAAATTTTACACTTTGAGTTATCTCCCCTTAAATGGCTAAGTTGACAATTTGATTCGAACAAACACAAACATTTTGTATCTGATAAACCAGTTAGAAAATTCAATAAATCACTTATTTTTCTTCATTCCAATAAAAGTCTAACCCATTAATTGCCAATTTGACTCAAAATTTGTAGATTTAAGCAAAGAACTAGACCTCTTGAGAACTACTATTTTACAATCCAAGATGGCGGTATACAGTTAATCTACCCTAATTTCCTTTTTGTATTCCCCCTTACCAATGATGATGTTGATGGATGAATGTTTAACGTTCAATGTAAAATTAAATGACACCTCAAAGGTATCCTTGTAGCATGCTTGCCTCAAGTGCTGGAGGTTGAGAGTTCAAACCCGACTGTTCAAACAAAAAACTTTACAACTAGTATTTGCTGCTTCTCCACTAAGCACAAGGCATTAAAGTGTAAGGCAAAGACAAGTCAGAATAATGTGTCTGGTCATGGTGACATGTGTTCCTGCAGACTGCGGACAAGCACGTTGAAAATCTGACTCAACATGTTCGTCAAGTACATAGCAGGGATAAATATTCACATCTCTTTAGCATGTTCTAATCCTGAATGAGTTTAATTTACTGGTTTTGACATCAAACAGCCATCCATCATCATCAAATTAAATTGATATTCAGGACAATTACATGTTTATGTGATATAAGTATAAACCCTGCTTTGTATTAGACTGACACTCTGAGCCTTATTTTAAACATGTGAATTCTCAAGGTACCGCAGAAAGACATGTCTTCTTCCTGGATACACTATTCTGACTCCCAGCCAATCAGTCGTTTTACTCTTACTTCTTAATGCTATGTTCTTAGCAGAGAAGCAGCTATTACTCATTTCAAAATATTTGAATGACCTGACTTAGGATTGAACCCACTACCTCCCAACTTTAGGTGATCATGATACCATGGAAAACAAAGGCGATTCCAGAATCCCTGACATTACCAAAATTTTCACAAGAATCACTAAATTCTCAAAACTGCAAATGGAGGTAGTAAATGATTTTAAGCTCTGTTTTAGCCGTTTTTCTTGACTCAATTACAGTACACAATTAGGAAGCAATTTTTCTCAGGCGTAGCAATCTTGTAATTTTTGTAAAATATCAAAAAGAGGTATGATAAAAGCATTGTCATTCTTGTAGTTAAATATTAAAAAAGAAATAAAATCTTAAAAAAATGTCTTTACAAATCTGATTTTACAGTGTATTGCCAATTATATATTTATTGTTGACTGTGGTTGAGTCACAGGATTTTTGCAGATAGACTGTCAAGCTGTAAAGGGACAACACAACACTTCAGTGTGACCACTGTACTTATGAGAACTAATGTATTCTACTGTTCTAAATATTAACATTGTGTTACTGTAATTGCACAGAATAAGCTTTACCTTTCTATTTAAAATAACTTCAGCAATATCTATTTTATCTTGATCTGTTAAATCTGGAGCTATTTTTACTAACAATGGTGGCTTTCTACCTCGTATATGATCTCTCTCTGATAATACCTTAAAATAAAAAACAACAAAAAATTGTAAATAAAATTGAGATGACATAGCTTGCTACAACTGTTTGAGGGACTTAAACTTTGTTTACAAGTTAATCTAATTCTATAGATTTTTTTCTTTAGACAAAATTTGGAATCATCAAATACAATCGGGGAGGATTTTAGATTTAAAGGGGAAACCCATGAATTCAATTTCAATTTTCAAAATGGTCTTTCAATCCTAATACATGTATAATCATTAAAACTTTGAAGAAAAAAATTTCAATTTCAATGCAAACATAGACAAAATGTAAGCCATTCGGTAGGGTGAAGGGAGACATGAAACATAGCATTAATCTTCTATTTAATATTTCAATGTATGATTGCATGTCAACATAAATGTATAAATTGGCAAAATTCCATAAAGAAATATATGTTCATGGATATAAACTGAGGTGTAAAATTCTATTTAACAATGTTATTAATACTTACTTTTTCTAACAGTGTATCCAGCATATCTTTCCCTTGCATAGCTCGTAACCCTGGAGTATTAGGACTAGATATGTTTATGACGAGGTAATCAGCAACTTTACCAAACTTTTTAACACCTTGTACATAATCCTCCACAGGATAAGATGAGGTTTTGTTTTTACCAAGGTTTACTCCCATGATGCCTGGAACTAAATTATAAAAAAATCATGAACTTCTTTTGTACGGATACATATGAGTAGATGAATAAAAATATCATGGTTTTTGTAATGGGATTCAGTGGAATTCTAAATAAGACTTTTAATATTTCCATGACACATTATGTTTTCTGGATTGAAATAAGTTGCTATGTAAACAAATAGCCTGTACTAATATTTTCTTATGAAATATTAAGTATTTGAAATCTGTCAAATAAAGTTCCTCCTTCCAAACATTTTCCCCTGAAATTTTGCACAATGCATTTTTAAGATAATTTTCGTCAATGTCCTTCTGATCTGAAAAAGAACATTTCTTTTTAAGAACTTTTAACTGATAATGAATTCAACAAAACAAATAAAAGAAAACAAATAAACATACAGAGATACCTTTGAGGACTCTGGTATTATCTGGGACAGTAGTGTCTGTCCATAGGTTTATATTTAACATATTTCTCTCTTCACTCATTTGTGGAAAGTGTGGTAATAACTCTGCAAAACAGGTTATGTTCTATCTTACTACCAGTCATATTGTAAACAATGTTTATATTGTTTGAAAGATTTTAAGAAAGAGAACAACTATCAATTCGTATCTTTTGAGTTCAAAGGTAAATGAATAAGGGATAAGAAGTAGCAACTGATTTTCTCACCTTTACCAGTTTGAAAGAACATGGTGATACTTCTTTAACACATTTTCACCTAGTTTTTCTTGTGCTAAATTTGTGGTAAAACTATGAATTTATTTAAATTTTATTAGACAATAATTATTATTATTTAAAAGAAAAAAAAAACACAAATGGAAAACTGCAAAGGATCCAAAATCACAAGTCTTCATCAAATTTAGTCAAATAAGACCTGAATTTACTGGAATTGCTGCTCTCTATCAGTCATGGTTCAGAAGTTGATTTGTGCACTGTTACAATCATCTTATGGATGGATTACATGATTGAGTGAATCTACTGAAAAATGAAAACTTTGCTTGCTTTCATTTATTTCTATACATATCTTGAACACCCCATTACATTGTACTGATAAAGTTATTGACTAAATCTGAAGTTGTCAATAATTTCAACATGTTTGTTTCCCTTACCAAGTTTTGAATTTAATGAATACAGGAATTGTTTAGGTTCAGATCATCACAGCTTGATGCTTATCCATCATTGAAGAAAGTTTATTTGGTCTATTGTGTTGTGTTGCTTAAATTTTCCATCTCATTCATGTTTTTACCTCACATATTTTTTATTCATATCTATCATATTAATGAAAGATGTCTAGATTTCCAAAAGTGTGATATTAACAACACTCTGCATCAACTGAACTAATAAATTTTCTGTTGTTTCTTTTTTAAGAATAGAAAATCTATTTTATTTGATGTATATTAATCAATGATGGTTGTTAGCTTTAATCAATGTATATGCTTAAAAGCTAAATTTGTCAAAACAGAAGAAGGTACATTTTATATTAGGCATTTTCTGGTTAACGTAAAATCAAGGTAAACAATTAGAAATAATTGTTAGTTTTTAAAATTCAATTCAATTCAATTCAATTCAATATTTTATTTACGTCTCACCTTATGCATAAAATTACACAATACATTTATAAAAGATACATTTTGTATACATAAGCCAATCTGTACAGATTTATGAGATGATAATCAACTAAAACAATATGTATGTACATAATAAATATTAAACATGAATGGTAAAATTATACAACATAATTATTCAATTATTATTTACAATATAAATCTTCTCGGCGTCTTTTCAGAATAAAATTACAGGTTTTGGCACATAGTCTTATAATATCTTGATTCGAAAATAAAAACACCATTTTCTGACAATCTGTAAAACTATTAAAATGCTCATCAATTTTAAGAGATTCAGTAAAAAGAACTTGTCTAAGATCATTATAAACAGGACAATATAAAATAACATGATATTCATCTTCAACAATATTAAAACAATTAAAACAACATCTCTCTTCCAGCGGCAAATGTTCATACCTTCCAGTTTCCAGCCTAATAGGAGCCACCCCACATCTAAATTTTGCAAAGGCGCTTCTTTCACGAAAAGGCATCAACAGTTTGCAGTAGTTTTCAACAACATAATCCTGCTTAAAAATAGTATATGTTCTCAACTTGTTACTCCCATTTCCCCGTCTGGAAGAGGATGAATTAACAATGCTTTTCCATTCATCAATAAAATTATCAAACATTCTTGACATGACTGTATCAACAAACATATTTTTATTAATATTAGTGTTTGTATTACAAAAGTCAACCAATTCAAGTTCCGTGAACTGTTTTTTAACCATGAAATTCCAATTTTTTACAATTTTATGTTTCAGGCTGACCTCATCTGCCCATATAAATATTTTCCTGTTAATACGATCTGGCTCCATATTTACTAATCTATGCCAGTGTCTTGCAATTACTTTCCATTGTGTATGGTAAATTGGAACCCACCCCATGTCTCCCATAATAGCTGGATTTGGTGTATATTTACCAACACCAAGGAAGAACCTACAAGCTCTCATCTGAATAGCATTAATAAATGAAAATTTCTTGCAGCCCCAAATCGCGGCACCATATTCAACAATAGGACTTACAAGTGAATCAAATAGTTTTTTATAGACGTCATATGAAATGCCACCAATAGCTTTACACTTAGCTATGACCAGACCTAAAGCTCTGTTTGCCGACCTAGCAACTGCTTTTGCAGTAATACTAAAGTCAAGAAATTCATTTAAAACAAGGCCCAGATAAGCATATTTACTGCTAGTAGCAATATTCATATCCCCACACTTAAAGACGTGACTTGATCGTTCAAATGAGGTCGGTCTGAAATGGACAACATTACTCTTACATGAATTAATAGTCATTTTATTGTCAGTACACCAATGATATAACTCATCTAAGACGTTTTGTAACTCATTTTCAGTATTTGCTAACAGTACAATGTCATCAGCATACAACAAAATACATACTTTTTCTCCCCCAATGTCAACACCAAAATCAAAAGATTTTAAGTACATAGCTAATTCATTTATGAAAATGTTAAATAATAAAGGAGAAAGTGGACAACCTTGTTTCAAACCACAGTTTACAGTAAACCAATCTGTGTTGAAACTATTGACTCTGATCGAGCACCTGACCCCATTATAAAGGGACTTAATAGCCATACACATTTTTACATCAACCCCCAGAGATGTGAGTTTTTCCCATAACAATGTCCTATTAATCGTATCATACGCCTTCTTAAAATCAATAAATGCACAAAAGGTTGATTTTTGTAGTTTTTTACGAACATCTACTAAACTAGTAAGTGAAGATATTTGATCTATGGTACTCCTTCCCTTCCAAAACCCATTTTGATCATCAACTAGGGACTTATTACCTTCAACCCATTGAGACAGCCTCATGTTTAATATGTTACATTATAATTTATATGAATCTGGGGCTAAAGCAATACCCCTATAATTTAAGGGGTCTCTTTTATCTGACATGTTATTTTTGGGTATCGGATTAATAATTATATTATTCCACATCTCTGGGACTTTACCAGTTTTAAAACACCAATTAAACAATCTATGTAAAAATATAATACAATTCTGGTTACATAAAACATCAGCTGGAATATTATCTACACCTGAGGCTTTGCCTCTTTTGCTTTTATATACTGCATTAAAAACCTCTTCAAATGAAATTTCTTCTGTTAAAAGAAAGTCGCTTTCTGTCAAAACGGTAGGGCTATGATCGACTTGAATATTCCTATCCGTAGTTACCTGGTTACCTGTTTGATTAAGTAGACCGGCATAGTCCGATTTCCACTTGAACAAAACATCATCAATATTTGAAGATACATTACCATTTGCGTCTACAACTTCCATTGGTATTAGAGTTTTGCGTTCAGAAGCAATTCCTATCTTACCTATCTTCTTCCAAAACGTTTGTTGATCAGTTTTTGATTCCATCAATAGTTCTTGCTGCAATGTGTACCAGTACTTACGTTTTGCTTTTTGAACCTCCTGATCGAAAACCCTTCGTTTTGACACAAAACTGGACTTTAGCTCAACACAAGACACACGAGACAATTTGCCTCTTTTCCATAACTTTTCTGCACAACACATATCATTAAAAAATACACTTAAATTATCATTCCAACAAGGTTTTTTAATTCTATTTCTCTTACTACAATAAGTACTATCTGACATGACAATAACTTTTGAATGAAATTTCTGATTCATTTCTTCGCTGACAATAGCACAGAAATCATTATAAACTTGATCAATGTTACATTGGGATACTTCATTTGTTTCAAGACAATTGATAATTTCTATGAGTCGTAAATGTATCTCATCGCCGTGACAAAAATTTGAAGGGATGTTTTTGACATCAAACTTAATAAATTCAGGATTACGATTTCCTGATGTAAGACACGACAGTAATGAGGCACTGATGTTCAACTCACAATACAACAAAGAGTGGTCGGGTATAGATCTCGCATCCAACCCAGTCATAAAAAGCTTGGACTTTATAATTAAGTCCGAAGCTCTAACAACTTCAAAGTCTTGAAAAAAATGAAGATTTTCATAGCTTGTAACACAATAATCAACAACCGATTGACCCTATGATGAAACACATGTAAAATCATTGTTTGTACCAACTCTACCGTTCAACATACAACAATTGCTACTTGTTAAAAAATCAATAAATGTAGTACAGTAACTATTACGTGTAAAATCTATAACACTTCTCATATTTATACATTCTACTCCAGGAATGTAATCATACTCATCGCCACATCTACTATTAAAGTCTCCACAAATATAAAATAAACCATCATTTTGGAATTCATAAACTTGTGAAAGTAATGTGTCGAAAAATAGTTCCTTATCTACTTGCCTAGTAGAGTGATCAGGTGGTAGATAGCAAACACATATATTAAATCTAAAATTTGACAACCTGTGATGCAGATACACCCATAAAATACTCTCAAAAGATTGGTCTAAAATACCAATATCAAAAATTTCAGTTAAATAATCTTTAATCAAAAAACCAACTCCACCTGACCCGCACTTAGCGTTTTTATGGATGCCATTTCTATTATGACCAAACCATTTAAACCCATTTAAAATCTATTCATAGACCTGGTTAACACAACCATGAGGCTATTATGGGATAATGTTAACAAGTCATTTTAATTATAAATCAGTATTATCAATTGTTCATATGCACTATGGCATGATTATAAGGACCTTAATTAGTTCAACATAGGCGGATCCAGGGGGGGGGAGCCCTGGGGGGCCTGCCCCCCCCCCCCCTTTTGTGTGAAAAATTTGGTTGATTATATAGAGAATCACTGAAGCATGACTGGAGCCCACTTTAGGTCAGTCAGTGGGCCCCCCTTATGAAAAGTTCTGGATCCGCAACTGTTCAACATGAACAAATTATTGTAAAACTAACAAATCTTTTGTAAAGTTTATATTTTAAT